TGGCTTATTCCTCAACCTGATTTCCAGATACATTCTATTCTTACAATGAATACACACAGAAATTAATTTTTACAATGATATAATTCTTTCATTATACAAACACTCTGGTTTTCAAGTTTTTCAACTTAATATTTTATTTATAAGAAACTCATTTTCATGCACGGTGACTTCAAAGTAAAAGAAATATCATTTCAGTCATTTCAAATGTGTCCCACCTCCAATGTCCAAAGACATTTTTAGAATTTTAGATGACCATAATAAACCAGGTTTTCTTGTTTATATATTAAATAATACATAAAGTATTTTCTTTTAGCTTTCATTTAACTCTTTGGTACAGGAAAATAATTACCTCTCTTACAGACTGAATTGGTTGCCCTCAAATTCATGTCAGAGCCCCAAACCCCAATGTGACTATGTCTGGAGATAGAGCCTGTAAGTAGGTGGAGGTTAATTCAGTAAGGCCTTTAGGTTAGGGCCATCATCCAATAGAACTGGTGTCCTTCTATTGAAGAGGAAGAGACACCAAGGAGTGCTCTCTCTCATGTACAGAGAAAGGGCCATGTGAGGATACTCTCAAAAACAGAATTTGCCTACACCTTGATCATGGACTTTCAGCTTCCAGAATTGTGAAAAAAAAAATGTGTTAAGCCATTCAGTCTTTGGTATTTTCTTATGACAGACACACAAACTATAACATCTCTAAAAGTGAGAAGCTTGTATTTTTGAGGTAGTTTTACTCTACTGATAATGCAGCTAAATGAGTGGCTGATTGTTACAAATATGATCCCTTTTAAGAAGAAAAAGGACTGGGCCAACTTGAAGAATAATTCACACCCCACCCCTGAATTTTTACATACGTGAGTTTCTAAATTTAACAAATGAAATTTTCATTTTAGAAACAGCATAAAGCTTTGCACCATAAGATACCGCCATGCTGGGCCTAACTCTGACAGTATGATGGGATGGTGTCTACAGAGAAGGCCTCAAAGGAGTCTAAATGATTTAACCCTCATTGGAAAATAACAACAGAAAAATACTGAAAATTGAAATGCTGATTCTTTAGAAACCCAATAGCACTTGCTCTATATGGTGAAGAAAATGTCAGTGCCACTAACTCCTGTTTTTGTATACTGCCACAAGATGACATAAAATTTTATTTCTTTGAGCCCTGGCCAGGTAGCTCAGTTGGAGGAAGAATCACCCTGATATGCCAAGTTTGTGGGTTTGATCTGTTTGAGGGCACTCACGAGAAAATTTTCTTTGATGGTGACCTCATTAATATTCAGAGTAAAAGCCATACATCAACATTTGGAAATCACTCTTTCCCTAGGACTTTTACATTCTCAGTGGCAAGAAGTGAATTATTAGATTATAGGGTGGCTAATATTTCTATAGGATTCACCCATTCATTGATTAAAATACAGCCACTTGCAATTTTCAGTAGAACTGTAGAATAATACAAAGATTATTATGCATTCAGGACAATTTTTAAAACTCTTGGAGGCAGATATGTGTGTGTGTTTATATATAAATACAGACACTTTAGACATACACATGCTGCCAGATGTTTTAAAGGTATTTTACAGTGTATTCAAAATTCCTGAATTTTGACCACATTTTTCTTTTTTAAAAGTACTACTTCTTGAGTGTTTCCCATGTGCCAGGCAATGTATGACACCTGGCACGTGGGAAGCACTTGACAGAACTACTTCATTTATTATCACAATCCCACCGGATAGAGACCATTATCCCATATTAAGAGGACAACACAAAACTTCAGAGAGGTTAAACAACTGCCCAAATTCCTTCAGTTAAAAAGTGCCAGATCTAGGATTTATGCCTGTTTCTCTGAATCCACAGATGTCTAAGAATGTCCCCTTCCCCTAATCGTAAGGAACTAAAAAACTATAAAAAAAAGCATTATTTCTATACTCTTAGATTTTTATATCATCTTTATCCACACATGTCTGGTAGCAATGTTTTATAATACCTGCGGAACTAATCAAATCAATATTGGCTGAGTTCTATGTGCCTAGAAATTTTCTAGAAGACTTAGAAAACAACAATAAAGCAATGTACACTGAATATGACCTCAGGTGGAGTACCTGAGAAAACTCCTGGTATACAGTTGTTAACCTCCCTACAGTGTCTGCACTCCTTCTCTCTAGAATGATTATTCAAATTGATCTTGAGAGGAGTTACTTGGGTATTGTTATCTGGTAAAATTATTATATTCTATAAGAAAAGCAAAACACCCATTTTCTCATTCTCTACATACATCCAATTTGGTAACATTTGTCAAAGCTTCGAAACCTATTAAACATAGGTAAGAAATTATTATGAGTACCATTACTTCCCTTCTCTAATTCTGGATGTAAACTAAAGAGGGTCCACAGTAATTTTCATTTGTTTTAAAACTACTTATAAAAACCATAATTTAAGTCTATTATGCATACCATAGACACTCACTGCATGGTAGAAAAAGTCCTAATGTTCAAAAATTCAAGAAACTCTTGAATTTTATCAATTCCTTATTCCTTAAAACTTGTCACAGATAGAGTATAACACCTCACTGTGTTCCATGTAACAACAAAAGGATTCATGGTCAAATAATTTTACATGTTAAACAGATATATTTACTATGGAACGTCTTGGAAGCTAAATATACTATGTGTACTCTATCTCTCTAGAAGAACTATAAATGGGGTTATCTACATTATTAGATATTATAGTGAAAATATGCACTGTGCCTCCCTATCAGCCTTTCCCTACTCCACCCCTCTTAAAAGGCCACTCCTACCCCGTGACATGAGGGTCGGCCATGTGACATGCTTTGGCCAAGGAAACATAAGGGGGTAGTGACGTGCTACTTTCAAGCAGCAGTTTAAAGAGTCAACATTCTACCACCATCCCTTTCTCCTTCTGCCACAATACTTGTACATCCTAGATGATTAGAGAGGTTGTACCTTCAGCTTTGGTCCAGGAACAAAGAGGACATGGAGCACAGCGGCAGCAGACTCATCAGGAATGTAAACATGAGTGAATCAATAACACTGGGAATTCTTTGGATAATGAAACAAAACTTTGCCTAAGCTGAATGATATATAACATGTCTCAGGTTTATTGGGCCCTAGAATCCATTTGCCACAAAATGCTTTCCAGGATTTTTTCCCTAAATTATTGCTGGTTTTGAATGGCATCTTTTCTACTTCTTAGTTAACACAACATTTAAGATAAATATATATGTAAGCTAGAAGCATATGGTGTTAGTAATTTTTAATTGATTTTCTTAAATTTTATCAGCAATTTAAATTTGTCAATTCCTGCTTATATTATGAATAATATATGATATTAATATATAAATAAAATATTTTAGTATAATTTTAGTCAATGTAATATTTTTATTGACTAAATATTCTAATATAGTCAATAAAATATTTTATTGAAATAATCTGATTAACATTCAAAAATCATAATCAGATGGCCACTTAAAAGTCAAGACTGTCATAAACAAATGATTAACAATTTAGTTTTCTGAACAGGTCAGATAGTGTTCTGCTTTACTTACATGTATTCAAGTTTAGCAAATTCAGAATTCTGCTACAAATTGATTCTTTAAATCTCACTATGCTCAACTCTCTTATTTGAAATTTTAGTATCAATATTTAAATATTCTATAGTCCATTTTGCTGATCCAGTAAAACCATAATAAACTGTATGCTAACTGGCATTCTTCAATCTAGAATGTGTTTGTCTAACTTAATTTTGGCTTAAAGGACAGCACAGAAAGAAGAAAAAGTGGTAACTAAATCCTAATCTTCTCAATAGTGTTAAGATTTTCTTAGGTGTTAAAATTCCTAGTAAATACACATTCAAGCTAAACTGCATACATTTTTTACTATGTGTATGATCCTACACAGGTGACATTCAGCATAAGCCTTATATTTATGCTCACATTATTAAAACAGCATCCAGCCATATATTTACTAAAACAAGCAGCACAGATATTCTAAACAAATTTAATAAGCTAACAAATAAAAATACTTAAAACAGAAAAGATTTAAGATTAATTTTCAATTAATCAAAAATTAAAGAATAAGTTCATGCCCTAGAAACAGAACTAGGCCATATTTTCTACATTTGTTCATTTTTTAAAGTCTTGTTTCTCTTCAGATCATATAAATCTTTCACCTTTTACTATATTTGTTTACTTTAATTTACATCAAATTTCCAGGTCTTATAAATCATCAATTCACCATAAAGTGTTTAGCCATCAATAGAGCATTTTATTCTCAAATGAGAAAACTGAAAGTAACCATTATTAAAATTAATTGTAATATATTATTGCCATATTTGAAACAATTAAAATTTTTTTCCTTGAAGAAACAACTTTGAAAATAACCTATACAAGAGAACAGTCATAGTGTTTGTGAGTTTCAGAATTTGATATAATTTGTCACATGTATATATTTTATAATCTCAACTTTTTCTTCATTGGGGGGGTTTTCACATTCAAAACAGTATCATGATGCTGCTATACATTCCTCTATTTTTATTAGGTAAAAAATACCCTCCATAATGCTTTGATACTGATTAACATTTCAATTAAAACATAAGGTAGTACAAAAATAGCTTTGGGGGAATAGACCAATTTACTATTTAGCTTTGTAACCTCTAGATATTCAGTAGTTGAATAAATTGACTTTTCACCAACAGTATGTTACTAGGGAGAAACAAATTAGAAACTTTTAAATAGGTAATTGATTTAAATTCATGATTTTAAAGAAATAACTTACTTGATGGAGATTAAAATGTCACTTAAAAAATATAATAAAATTGACAATTTTAAAAAAAATACACAATTATCACACTTCCCTGATCAACCAGGAAGGTGAATGCATCAGATAAGAAAAAGTTGAGATCTGCTCTGAGGACACATAGTCCTTGACTGCTTCACTGCTTCGAGTTAAGTGAGATGGCACCTGCAGTGCTGTTCTTACCGGTCAAGTCAAGACTTTCCATTGTGATCTCAATGGAACATCAGAATTCCCAGCTCCCGTGATGCAGCAGGATTCTGTGAAAGGTCATAGCAGAGTAGTTAAAATGGTGAGCCAAGAAAGGCCTTTCAAACACAGCTAACGCTTCTTGTCTTTTACCAAAATAATCCCCCCAAATTAAATGAATGGCCAAACCACCAAAATCAAACAGGCTAGTAAAACTCTCTGTGTTAACACTATTTAGAAAAAGTGTACTGAAGTGTTTGTTGTCAACTTTAACAAAGAAAAAAGACAGTCATTAAAATTACTCAATGGGAATCCTGAGATAAAAGTTACAAAGAATTACAGCAATCGCTTCTCAACTCTGGCTAAAAGCAAGTGTAGAATTACAGACAAATCCCCTGAAAAAACATGATGTTATGCTGGCATCCTGACTAACTGTTTTATGTTCTATAAATGACTGGTCCAACCCAACCAGATAAACTATGGTTTGGACATTAATATCTTATAATTTACCCTTTAAATATTTTAAAGTTAATGAGTGGAGCAAGATAGTTTTTTGGGGGGGATAAAGAAGACACATACAAACAGAGAAAAGCTGGTCATAAAAAATTACTTTCTAGCTATAAGTGATCCAGAAAATATAAGATCAAAATCAGCAAAAAGGTACACATACAAATTAAAGGGAAAATTTGACATTATACTGCAAATATAAACATATAACTACATTGTTTCATTTTTTAAGAATTAAGTTATTTCAGTTTCTATGTGAGACATTCATTTAGTTTCTAGGATGCTTCAATTATACTAAATAAATTGACACTCAACTAAGACAATTTCCTGCACCCCTGCAGATCAAGACAATGTATTTCTTTACAATGAGTACATTACAACATCCTCTAGAATTCAGGCATCACTTACCAGCTTACAGGTTTATCAAAATCATTAGTCATTTCACGGTTTGGCTGAATTTTTTTTCCCTAATCAGTCACTATAGTGTGGAAGAACTGGCTCTTACACATTAAATATGAAAATGTGTAAGGATTGGCTTCTGGTCAGGATGGCAGTATACGTAAATACAGTGCTCACATCCTCTCACATCCACATGAAAATTACAACTACACTACAAAAAAATCATTTTTCAGAACTGTCTGAAGTATAGTTGAACAGAAGTTCTACAAACTCAGGATATAAAGAAGCCACATGGAGACTGGTGGGAGGGGCACAGAAAAGAAGGGGCTGGTCCCACACCCATGGATGGTGGGTAAAAATTGGGAGGATATTTTAGCTGCAGAGGTACCCTCAGAGGAGAAGGGGTCCCAGCCTCACCAGGCCTCCTTAGTTCAGGGTTTCAGTGCCAGGAAGGTAAGTCCTGTCATCAGGGTAACAGCTAGAGAGACAGCTTCCTTCCAGACAGAAGTGATGTTGGAGGCCATTATTCCTTTGCTGACCCCTCCCCCAACAGAGCCAGCAGGAGGGAGCTGTACCTGAGTGTCCATCAATCTGGCTATCACTGTTTTCCTCAACCTAATCATTCCCTGAGACCCCACCCCACTCAACTTGTGGGCCCACCCTAGGTGTTTCTGGTGGCTTTTCCATATGAATGGCCTGTCTTGGCTCATGCTTCAGACATTCCTAAAATCTCTCAAACAAGCACCATCTGGTCTCAGTGTGCCCAGTACCTCTTGCTAAGTGATCCCAGTCTTGGCACAAGCAGCAGCCAGCCCCAGTTTGCAGCTTGTCCTCTCCTGGGTACCTCCAAGCCCAGCACAAGTAGCAGCCATCCGCAGATCACTTTGTAGCTCATGTGGAGTAGCTCCAGGCAGCACACAGGCATCAGTTGACATTGGCCTACACCTCCTGGGAGGCCCCAGAGCGAACGCACATGGTGGACAGCTTCAGACCACATCAAAGTGCCACCTAACCACCTCCACAAGTGACACACTCAAGGGGCAGACTCAGTGAGCACCACAGCGTCGCTGAAGTGAGTCCTGCTCCATGGGCTGTGACTCTGCACAGTTGATTCTCCATGGTGGTAGCAGTCAATCCTTTGCAGCCAGCTGGCCTGGGGATAAATTCCTCCCACTGAGGTACCAACAGCAATCAAGGCTCAACTACAACAGGAATGTGCACAAAGCCCACAAGGGGTTGGGGGGGCAGGTGCAACTAAAGAGCCCTGCTCAGGTGAACAGGGAGGCTGTGCCACTGGACCCTACAGGACACCTACTATATTAGACCACACTCCCAAGCCCAGGAGACATAGCCTTTCTACCTAATACATAGAAACAAACACAGGGAGGCTGCTAAAATGAGGAGACAAAGAAATGTGTCCCAGATGAAAGAGCAGAACAAAACTCCATATAAAGAACTAACCAAAATGGAGACAAGCAATCTACTAGATGCAGAGTTCAAAACACTGGTTATAAGGATGCTCAAAGAAATTAGGGGAAGAGTAGTGGAACTTAGTGAGAATTTCAACAGCAAAAAGAAAGACATGAAAACCATAAAAGAGAATCAGTCAGAAATGAAAAATACACTAAATAAAATGAAGAATAATTTACAGGGAATCAATAGTTGACTAGATAATGCTGAGAATCAAATCAACAATTTGGAATATAAGGAAGCAAAAAGCACCCAATGAGAACAGCAAATAAAAAAAGAATCCAAAAACTGAGGATACTGTAAAGAGCCTCTGAGATAACTTCAAGTTTACCAACATTTGTATCATGGGAGAGCCAGAAAGAGAAGAGAGCAAGAAATTGAAAGCCTATTTGAAAAAAAAAATGACAGAAAACTTCCATAACCTCATGAAGGAAACAGACATACAAGTCCAGAAAGCGCAGAGAGTCCCAAACAAGATGAACCCAAAGAGCCCCACACCAAGACACATCACAATTAAAATGCAAAAAATTAAAGACAAAATGAAAATCTTAAAAGCAGCAATAGACAAGCAGTTAGTTACCTACAAGAGAGTTCCCATAAGATTGTCAGCTGATTTCTCAACAGAAACTTCGCAGGCCAGTAGGGACTGGCAAGAAATATTCAAATTGATGAAAAGCAAGGACCTACAGCCAAGATTACTCTACCCAGCAAAGCTATCATTCAGAATTGAAAAACATATAAAGAGCTTTCCAGAAGAGAAAAAGCTAAAGTGGTTCATCACACCAAACCAGTATTACATGAAATGTTAAAAAGCTTCTAGAAGAAGAAAGAGGAGAAGGAGAAGCAGCAGAAGAAAGAGGAGGAGGAGGAGGGGTAGGAGGAAAAGGAGAAGGAAGAATAAAAAATGTGAACAATAAATATGTACCTATCAACAACTAAACTAAATAAATGAACAAGCTCAACAGAAACAGACTCATACATACAAAGAACATTTTGATGGTTACCAGATGGGAGGGAGGAATACTGGGTGAAAAAGATCAAGGGATACAGAAGTACAAATTGGTAGGTACAGAACAGTCAAGGGGAAGTAAAGTACAGCATAGGGAGTATAGCTAGTAATATTCTAATAAGTACATATGGTATCAGATAAGTACTGGATTTATCAGGATGATCATTTAGTAAGTTATATATAATGTCTAATTACTGGGTTATACACCTGAAACTAATATAATATTGTATGTCAACTGAAAAAAATTCTTACTTAAAAAAGAATTAAAAAATAGAAATTAATATCCCAGGTTCGATTCCCAGCCAGGGTACATTCCTGGGTTGCAGGCCATAACCCCCAGCAACCGCACATTGATGTTTCTCTCTCTCTCTCCCTCTCTCTCTCTCTCTCTCTCTCTCCCCCCCTTCCCTCCCAAAAAAGTAAATAAATAAAATCTTTAAAAAAATTAAAAAAAAATAGAAATTAAAAAAAAACTAAAATATGTAATGATGCATGTGAACAATTGAGTACTCCTATCAGATTCAGAGAATCCAGTTGTCACCCAATACTACTGAAGAAAACAATATCTGGAAAGAATGATAAAATATTAAACTGTCTCATCTAGTTTCACATAAGATCTTACTCATTCATCCATATATTTTAAAACAAAGATGGATAAAAAAATAAATTCAGATCTTTGAAGCTGACTACAAAGAATACATAGGGATACTTTCAAAATAAATGACTATTTTTACTAAGGCAACATAAAATTCTTAATTACCATAACACAGGTAAGTAATATTATTAAAATGCTACTTTAAGAAATTACATATACTATCATATTCATTTGCATACCTTTTTTTCATATAAATCCATAAAAGCCAATATAGAGAAGAATCATTATAATAAATATTGTGAAATAAATGAGTAAAAATTGTGAAGTAAAAAATGACTATAAATAACTATAAGAAAAATCAATTGATATAAGTTAAAAATTCAATACAATGTGTGCTGCTAAAATTGGGAGAGGAGGGTCTACCATTAATTTTGACAGAATGGGTTTAATTTTTATTTTGGTTTAAAGACTAGTTTACTTTTTAGTCTAAGAAGTGAGTACATGCTATCCGAGAAATGGCATATGCCAATATATGCTATATACTGAACTTCTTTTAAAATCAAAATAAACTATCAATAATCTTCAGGTACCCTTATAGATTGTTTCTTGTCAATCTTACATATATCCCCAAAATGGACCATGACTACACCTTATTTTGATTTTACTGTTCAATAATTTATCACCTATGATGAGTGGAGAGAAAGGAGGTTGCTTATGATGTAGCCTATATGGGTTTTTAACTCTTAGGAGAACAGAGAAGTCACTTTGGACTTCACTGACTAGGAAAGAGAAGCCAGGGAATTGGGCACAGAGCAGAGTCATTTGCAAGCCTGAAGACCCTGCTTGAGACAGACTTCCTTTGATAGCCAGATTTAAAGAGGCTCCAGATTTTACCAGGCCTTCACAAAGCCCACATGAGTAACTTCAGAAACACAGTTTCAGTATAAGCTGTTCTGCATTTAAATTACAAGTACTTCACCGAGTATTTTGATGTGATGTTATTGGATGGCTATGTGTGACATGTCAGGAGGGCAGATGGGCAAGCAGGGGGAGATGCCTAAAGCATGAACACAACCCTGCAAAACAGTGAT